TCCCCCTCGTCGTTGAGGAACTGGGCCATGGAGGAGCTCAGCTCGTCCTCGGCGCCGTCGCTCTCGTCCGACGACAGCCCCTGAGCCCCGTGCTGGGACAGCTCTGCCTCCTCCTCCAGGAACTGCCTGGCTGTGGCCTGGGAAAACAGGGGCCTTGCAGGGGGTTCTGATGCACTGATGCTGCCCTGAGACCCCGAGTCACTGCAGGCCAGCAGCTGCACCATCACAGGCACCGGGCTCCTGGCTTGGGCAGGAGAATCCCATGGCCTGTGTGCCCCTGGACAGGGAACAGCCCGGGCACAGTCACCAACACAGGGGGCTGAGCTGCCCAACACCATCTGGGGGCTTTACAGCTCATACACCCAGTGTGACTCTTTTTATTTGCTGTCAAAAACCTGGGTTCCTTTGGAAGGGCTGGATTCCCCCAAACCCAAATCAGTGGGAACTTCAGAGCCTGACCCCACCCGGGTTCACCCTTTTCTGCTCAGGTGCCAGCTCCTAAAGGATTTACTGGCTCCAGTGCCAGGGGCTGCTCTGGTCACAGTCTGTGTTGATCTCATTGCAGTTCTCTCCTGACAGGGCTCCCTGACTGATAGTGGACTGGTCACAGTGGTTTTAATGCCTGGGATCTCCCGTGGATCTGGAATTCTGGCCTGTCCATCACTATGGATGTTTAGGTAAGGTCAGTGTGAAGGCACAGCAGAATTTCCTAAGCAGACACACTCTTTTTCTATGATCCTCTTGGTCCCACCTTAAAAAAAATGTTTCAATCTAACTGAAAAATGGATTTTAATCCACCTCATTCTTTGTATCCCAGAATATAAAACACCGATACTGTAGGGAAGGCTTGACAATGAAGATTATCTTTCAAACATCAAAAATATCCAGTGTATTGTGCCCTGGAGCCCTGATTATGGCAATTGCTGCCCAGTGGAACCACAGCCACAAATATTTAAGAGCTCTTCACTTAGGATGATTCTGGCCCTGCTTCCTCTCCTGCTGCAGTGATGGACTAAAGTATCAAATACCGAGCTAAGATTTAAGATTTGGGGTTGAGGGACCATTGCTGTCTTGAATGTTCAAAGTTTGAGCCCTAAGAGTAGGGGGTAAATTCATATGATCAAGTATCCCAATGCAAATAATAATAATAATAATAATAATAATATTAATTTCTGGGCAAGACCCTGAGCTCCCAGAGATGACTAATCCTTGAGCATTTCTAAAGATTGTAAAATGGACATTGTCATTTGGCTTCAGAACTGTGTCACCAGGGCCCTGCAGACTCTGACAGGCAGGAAGGGATGGCAGGGCTCACATCTTTATCCAGTTCCAAGATTTCAGCTCCAGTCTTTGCAGTGCACTAGTGTGGAACAGCTGAGCCTCAGCCCTCCTGGACAGTGTCCTGACACCACAGACTGCCCAGCCCCGTGCCCACCCCCCAACTCCAGTGCCAGCTGCTCCAAACAGGACCTTCCATAGCCAGGAGACACGTGGGGTCCCACACACACCTTGGCTGTGGAGCTGCTCCGGAGCCGTTTGGCTCGTCCTGGCCGGGCTTTGTTCTGGGCTGTGCAGCTGCTCCTCGTGGTCCTGCCCCAGTTCTGGGCAAAATCCCCACTGTCATCACTGGACTCTGACTGGGAACAGGGAACACAGCCCTTAGAGAGTCAGGGGAAAGCAAGGAATGTTTAATTACAGTCATAAATCCCAGACTGGTTTGGGT